AGGGTATGCTCAGGCGAGGACTAATACCTTTGATCTCACTACCGGGGATGCTTGCGTTGAATATAATGTTTATGTTCTCCATTACTGATTAATTTATTTGATCGTCAGATTGTTGCTTTGGTCCGGTCAGTTCTGTGTTTCTATGAGTCTTATTTACTTTGGTTAATATATAATAAAAGTGTCCTACGTGGGTCCTCCGAATGTCAGAGTTTGGACTTTTATATTAGAAATGAGTTTGGACTTTTATATTAGAAATGAGTTTGGAAAAGAGAATTACATTCTGATATATAACTCATTATTCAGTGAACAAAAAAATATCTATGTAATATTGTTATTCCTAAAATTCTATTGGCCACACCTCGTAGCAAAAATTCAATCGTGTACCATCTACTTTTACAAGAAATAGAAGAAAAGGATTTGTCAAACGACAAGCTGTTAAAAGAACATCATTTAAAGTGTAATGTACTCGGACCAAACAATTAACAAAAATGAGAGATTAATTTTTGCATAATGAATTTAAATTTACCTTGAAAGCATGTTAAGGACTTAGCTTAAAATAAATGAGTATGAAGAAAAATTACATTAAATTATTGGTAATGAAATAAGGTAAGCGCAAGTTCTGAAAATTAAATAAATAAAGTGCAAAAAATAAAGTTAAATTGAAATTGAAATTCTAGGAAGAGAACGTAAATCTAACAAAAATCTGGAAAACACAACAAAAAAATAAAAGACTCTAAATTTAACCAAAATTGCAAACATGTTTTGAATGTTTATCAAATTGAATGTTTAACAATTGAGAAACTTAATTGAAACAAATCACAATAATAAAAGAAAGTTATAAAAACTTATTTTATTCAAAAAAACTAAATTAATTAAAAATAAAAATTTATTGAGGACGCTGATCTATTTCTATTAGACTAAAAACTTTAACAAAAAGTGCTAGAAAATAGTCTAAAATTAAGAGAGCACTAGGTTAGATATTGAAGAATGCTTGAAGAATGAAAAGTTTTGAAAGATAAATGATTTGTATTGAAGGACAAACTTATGTATGTAACTCAATAATATCTTCAAAACTGAAATTTATATACCACCATAACTGCTCTCATTCAGTAAAAAATCATATGTGAATTACCTCTCCATCCACAATAAAATATGATATCAACAACCCCAATTTTCTCTCATTCATGCCAAAAACAGGAAAAATGAAGCAAAATCCAACAAAAATCCATCGGTTGTAACTTCTTTTGACCGGGTCAAACTCTCTTTATATCAAAGATGAAATCTCCTAATAAAACTTGACTCCTAATAAAATATCAACCCATGGGATTTAAATAAATAGAGTCCAAAAATATTTGGATTATACTTTCATTTAGGCTATACAATTCCTTTTAACTTAATAAATTCTTTATTGTCAAATTTACTTCCAGAATAAATAAAGTTGGACTCTCCAAGTTTAATTAATAAAAATGTTAAAAAACACTAGCACAGTATAAATAATCCATACTAATCCAAGGCAACATAAAATAAACTGCACTATACCAAATCATAGGCAAATAATTTATAATAAATCATAAAAAATTAATGATTGCTCAATCTTTATAGGGACATATGATATCATCTTAAAAAATTACTAATTATGGTGTAAACAAAGAGTGTCGTTGTTTTCTTGTTTTAATTGTCTTGGTTTGCTATTTTGATTGCATTAAACTACAAAATAGAACCGAACTTAGCTCCTATCTAATGATTTAAATTATACAATTAAGTATAGTTTATACTCTAAAATATTTTTTTATATAATAATAGCCATATGTGTAATTTTCATCTTTTTAACACAACTTTTATAATTTAAGCTTCTTTTGGTATAATTGCTCAAATGCAACTTTGTTATAGGTTGATAGTTCACATCACGGGATTATTAATTATTTTTATTTTTAATATAATAAAAAGGTGTTTTACATGATATATTATATATTAAAAGTATAATTTGTCTTATAAATTTATTAAAATATTTTAATAAAATTATTTTTTATATTATTTTATTAAAAATATTTTAATAAATTCATAAAATAAATTGCACTTTTAATGTATAGTCTGAATTGCATTACATAAATCTTATAATATAAAGACTCTTATTAATTTGTTGGATGATTAGATAATAGTGATAAAAACACAGCTTTAATTATTATTCTATGTGGGCATTTGGTGTAGAGATTTGAAACTAGCACTTACTAGTAGGTTAAAGAATATGAAAAAGGAAAAAATAAAAATAAAAAGATCTTGCTATTAAAAATATTAGTATATTTAATCAAAACCGTTGACTGATTATGAGGCCAAGTTTCACTTAAGCTGGTTTTACATTGGCCGTTTTGAGCCCGACCAGTTTGCCAACAGGGCCAACACCATGTATAGAGTTCACACTTATTAGGGTCCCTCTGCCTTCGGTTTTATTTTGTTGTTTCACTTTCGTAATGAAATTGGGTTTATGAGTTGGTATAAAAACAAAAGGTTAAAACTCTTTTTTGGTCCCTAAACTATTATACGGACCCTTGATTTGGTCCCTAAACTAAAAAAATCCCTGATTTGGTCCATACTGTTTATCATTTTTACCTCGATTTGGTCCTTCCGTTAAAAATCGTCTGTTAACTCACAGATATATCAAAAATTTAAGCCACGTCAGTTGTACACCTGGATAAATGATGACATGATCATACCCAACACAAAAACAAAAGTGGGGCTCACCAAATTACAATTTTGCATCATCTTCTTCCTCCAACATCTTCTTTCTCGAATCTTCCTTCATTCACACAATCAATTCAATCAAATAATCAATTCAATATCCTTCATTCACACAACCAATTCAATCAAACAATCAATTCAATATCGAACCCAACAATTCTTCATCTTAATCAAACAACCAAACCCACAAAAAAAAAAAAATTTTTTTTTGCCCCCGGATTCGAACAAACCCAGATCTTGGGTTCTCGAAGGAACCCAGTGCCCAGATTCAAGAAGAGACCCAGCGCCTAAGTGCAAACGAAACCCAGGCGCCTATGTTCGAGAAAAAACCCAGGCGCCTGGGTTCGAGAAAAAACCCAGTGCCTGGGTTCGATCGAACCCAGCACTGGGTTTGAAGGAACCCAGAGCTTGGGATCATCGAACCCAGGCAATGGGTTCCTTCGAACCTAGCTTGGTTCGTTGAACCCAACGCATGGGTTGGTTGAACCCAGGCGATCTGGGTCCGTTGAACCCAGGCCGAACCCAAATTGCCTGGGTTCGTCGAACCCAGCACCAGATTCGTCGAACCCAGGTCCAGGCGACGAACCCAGGCGAACCCAGTGCCTGGGTGGGTTCGAAGGAACCCAGGCCTGCTGGGTTTCGAGGGGAAGGAGGAAGAGAAAGGGGAAGGAGAAAGAGAAAGGGGAAGGAGAAAGAGAAAGAAAAAGAAAAAAAGAAAAAAAAATTAAGTTTTATTTTTCATAATATTTTTTTACATTATTTTTTTTCCACATTATTTTTTTTCCACATTATTTTTTTTCCACATCATCACTTTTTTTTCCACATCATCACTTTTTATATTACTATATGACATGTCATCTGGTAACCGTTAAGTAACAGGTCACGTCACACAATTTTTAACGGAAGAACCAAATCGGGGTAAAAATTGTCAATAGTAGGGACCAAATTATGGATTTTTTTAGTTCAGGGACCAAAAAGGGGTTTTAACAAAAAAAATTGGATTTCTGAGCTGTTATGGGACCTTTTGCTTTTGTTAGATCTCAGAATTTATTTTCATTTTCTTTTTAGTAGGCCCAGCAATTTGTGCCAAGACTAAGGCAATGTTTGGGTGAGTTCTATAAACTTCAGTTTTTTTATATTATTTATATTTTATAAGTTAAATTTTTTTTTTTTTTAGTAGGCCCAGCAATTTGTGCCAAGAAAGGCAATGTTTTGGTGAGTTCTGTAAACTTCAGTTTTTTTATACTATTTATATTTTATAAGTT